GTGTCAAACCACCAATCGACTATCATCCGATGCAGCTACTGGAATGTCATCGTCGACTAAGTTCAACTTTGCCTACTACAGTATTCCAATATTTGTCGCCTTACTACGATCCTATATTATGATCACCCAACCTAATTTTTTGACGTAGTCTGACCTAATCCTCTGCCCACCATTTAGAAGGGTATACAAAACTATTTTAAAAATAATTAATTTTCCAAATGTGAAGGTCAAAGAAAAGTATGTGTTTATGACTATTTAAATTTCCATTCATATTATGAGGTGTATATACATATTATTAAATTCTTCTATCTATCAACAACATACAAAAAATAAATTAATTTATTACATATTTTAACTCTAGATGAATAAAAATAATCAAAATATTAATTTATTTTAAAAGAAATTCACCTAAAAGAAATTCTTCATCTAATCTATCAATAAATATTAGGGTTGTCATATATTGACAAATCCGTAAACTCGGACTAGAAAAATCCGGTTAGGAATCATATTCACTGTTTTGTGTAGCTGGTTCCTGTAGTGTGCACGAATGCGCGTGATTCCCTAACCTGTGCAGGTTGATCGGATCAACCCGGTAATCCGACAATAAGGATCAACCCGGTATCCCCACAATTAGGGTCTGAACTTACTTGAATCTGTCCCGAAACCATTTTGACACCAACGTGTTCTTAAATCTTAATTATATATATATAATATATAATATATATATAATATATATATATATATATAATTATATATATATATATAATAATAATAAACCTTTGCTCTGACCCGTTTAAGCATCCAGCGAAACATAAATTCGCGGAGAAGACGCATGACCCGGAATCCTATCTGCCATTTGTGAGCAGAATCAACCGGAGTCCTCTGAAGGCCAAGGAAACCGCGCAATGGAATACGAGAACAAAAGCACATCCTCGCTCCCCATGGTCGTGTGTGTTAGTCATACTTCTTTCCTCCTCCAACCTCCCCAACTTCGAAATAAAAGGTTTTTTCTGTGGAAGATGTTTCAAGTTACAGCCTAGGGTTTATTTAAAAAATTTTCTTCTAAGGTATAAAATTATTGAATCTTTACTCTGCTCGAATGTGCTTTTAGCAGCATGTTTGAACAAATATGTTTTCTTTGTTCATTCGTTTATTCATTAATATGAACCTTGCACGCCAAATTGAAAAGTTTTAGTGAGTCAAATCAAAGTATTTAATACAGTGGCCCACCTACATTTAGGTTTACTGGCTGCCGAATATGGTGCGAAATATTACTTACGGGGAGGAGATCATTCGATCACAAAAATTTTGAAATGCGACGGCGAGTGAATGGTATTTCACTAAAATTTATCTTTCAGCAGTTAGTTTTAAGTATTTTTTTTTTTTCATAGCCTTAAATTATTTACGTAGCTCTCTTTAGTTGCAAAAATCTTAAATGTTATGAACAAAATACAACATGCGGGGTACTTTTCTTTCACTTTTAAAAAGAAATCGGCCTATTGGTTCAATGTTTTTGGGATTTTACTCTTATTAAAGATGTCAAAAATTTATCCTGTCAGGTTCCGTGTTTTGTTTTGTCTTATTAGCATAAAATAAGTTAATGCCATCCATACAATAAAAGTATTATTCAAATTTCGTGATGACATTAGATGTAGGCCAAAATAATTGCCATAAATCTAATTTAAAGAGTTGGCAAACCAAAAAATGACTATTTTAAAAAACATAACATAATATTTGCATTATAAACATTTTAATGAAAAAGTTTATGTGTTATTTGCTCATAAATAGTTCACTAACCAAGAAAAAACATTCTTTGTGTTGCTAATCTCATTTAATAAGTATTTAGAAAGAGTTTTAAGGTGTAAATTCTCGAGACAATATACTTAAATATGTATTTAAATTTATAAAAACATTTGAAACACCATGTAAGTATGTGTCATCATGCAAAATAGAAGCAGGGGTGAATACAAATTATGTAAAAAGGTTCAAAAGGAAATGTGTAGGTTCACGTGGAAAGCAAAAAAGTTATCTTTTTAATGCAATTTTTTTTTGTTGAATTATAGTTTTGCTTGGAAAAAACAAAAGAATTAGAAACACTATGCATTTATTAAAAATATTTTTAATGATAATTGAAAAGGTTTTAAGTTGTTCATGTAGGGACTGACATCAACATGCAAAGTAGAGGGTAGTGCACTTATATGGCATCGAGATGAGTCGGGCCAAAACAATCAAATTAAAAACTCTTGTTCCCTCTCCAACCCTAGCTAAAAACTAAAAGAGAAAAGCATCATCCCCTGTGAAGAAGCCATAAACGAAGAAAAACCTTCCCCTGCTGTTCTAGCGATACTTCAGCGAAATCTTACTTTTTCCACAACTGATTGTCGCTATTCAACCTCTTTGCCAATAATAGCACCCCCGAACTTCTATCGAGGACTTCCGTCTCTGGTATGAAACTAATTGCATAGAGAGTTTCATTATTCTAATTTTCTAATCGTCCAAACATTGCATGTGCAATTAATCAAATTTACTTTTTTTATTCTATCTCAGATATCCATTCGTATAATACTCTTCTGCTTCGATTTCCCACTTTCCATAATCTAACATTCTAATCCGAAGCTCCTTCGAGCTGTTCAATGGCTCCTCTACATAATCTTCTGAATTTTGAATAGTACTTCAAGATCCTCTATTTTTTGCTTAGCTAATGAATCATTTAATGGCTTAGCGTCAAAAAAGCAGTCAAGAAGAGCTACTTAGAAATTGGAAAATGTTCATTTTCCCGGCGTATTCTTCAGAACGACCCAAAACTCTTTTCTTTGAAATTTCAATTGTGTATCTACCCCTCACATCGTTGTTCTCGCAGAAAGCGGTTTAGCTTTCTATTTGAATGATGCACAAATCTCTATCAGATGGCGATAGTTTAAAAAAAAACGAGAGCCGAAATGTTAGAGGGCCTACAACTTACGCTTTTGTAGCACCGAACATGTTCCGACAAGGTATTGTGTTTGGAGAGGTAGTAATAGATAGGACTACGTCTTGATCGATCAGGACCCTAGCTTATTGCTAGCCTCAAACACCCATTATTTTCGAAGAGGGACCTTTCTTTGATTCTCTTCTTGAACGATCCTCAGCTCTTCCAAAAAAAAAAAGAACTCTCGCTAGTGCATCCATGGTTGAAATGGTGAAAGCGCCCAACTCAATAATTACAAATTTGTAGGATCAATTTCTTGGCTTGGGTAGGACAATTTGTTCATGTCGCTATTCCCGGATCGAGGGGAGAGTACGTCAGATGGAATAAATTCTTAGACGTGATTCGTATCCCCAAGAGTTGGGCTCCTTTTATGGTATTAGAATCTTTATGCTCAAAATCTTATCCAGTAGTCAATTTATTTGGTACATCCCAAGGGACAGGAACTGTCATTCTAACCCTTCTTGGAGGATTCCATCCCCAAACAAAAGTTTACGGCTAATCGATATTGCTCACCTTTCACGTTCTTAGACTAAAACAACTGACTGCACTCTCCTACTTCAATTGGACTGTCGGAACGAGCAGGGAAGAGCTGAGGTAAAGGTACGGGGTGAGTCCCCCTATCTTAATGGGAAACAGGTCCCGCTATGAATGAAAAGGAGGCGAACATACTTTCACTTCTATCGGGTTGTGTTCCACTTGAGAGGAAGGAGCTTTTATGGAAGCAACATCTATAGGAAATTTTCAACTCGTGACTTCATCTTTCAAACCAGTTGATGCAATTCAAAAAAGAGACATCAGGAGTAGCCCCCCATTCTATCATTGATTCTTTCTAACAGTCTGGAGGAGTTAGCTTTATAAAAAAGAAGATATCAATGAACTTCTAGTGAAATTTCACGGGATTTAGCCAATTGTCTCGATTGTAAGATATCATTGATAAATAGAAATCCGTGTTATCAAATGATCCTGCAAATTCTTACTAGCACTGGAATGAGTCAATCACCAGCTTTGGTTCTTTTTGATTAAAAAAAGTAATAGTTTCCTCCATTGATCAAGAATTTTCGTCTTTGGGAAGTATCATGATCATTCAATAAGGAGGTTTAAATTTCGGTGAAAAAAGGCCCAAAAAGAAAAAAAATGTCTGTTATAAAGCTATCAAACTGTTGGAAGTTCTCAAGATGTGTTTAATTTAATTGAAAAATAATATTTGCTTTTCACAAAAAGAGTGGTGAATAAGGTTTCATAAAATTGGCTCCAAATTGTTTGATGTAGATTTCCACCTGTGCCGAAATGCACTGATAAAAATCATGTAGTTTTTATTTAAAGACTGAAAATTCCATATTCAGGAAAATTGGTGCAAAGTTTAATGAATTCTTAGGATTCTTTATGTTTTTATTCTGTTTCACTTGACTATAGTTAAATAAAAACTATACAGCTGCATGCCAATTATTTTAATTACTACAGCTTATTTCTTTGATGTTCTTATCATTGTTTCAATTGTTTTTTTGAAAGTGTGCATAGCTTTTCTTGTTGCTCACATAGCCATTTTAATATAATAATAAATAATAAATAATAATAATAATAATAATAATATTATTATTATTATTAATTATTATTATTTTTGAATAGTTAGGTTAAGTGAACTAAGCTTGCAATTGCTACTTCACTCTTGAGTTTCAGGGTTTTGCTTTGAATAATAATATAATCTGCATGCTGTTCACTTATATTGTTTTTTTATTGCTACCAGAACTGCTGCAGTTTTATATATATATATATATATATATGTTTTTCTTCATTTTTATATATATTTGTTGTACATGTTGCTAATTTTTTACCTTTATTGTCTTTATACTTGAGACTAATTTGTTCTGTTTCCTGTAGACTATCTTGGGACTACTGATTTTGTTGAGAGAGGAACTGGTGACGTTGTTTTTAGAACCTGTCACGAGGAGAGAAATAGACTTGTGTTTCAGATGGGCTCCTCTGATGCTGTTAGGGCTCTAGCTGCTGCTGAGTTAGTGTGAGTATATTCTATTTTTGTTAACCAATGAGGATAAAAAATAAATTTACAATTATTTTCACCATTACAGATTTAGCTATCATATATTTTAATAATATTTAAAATGGATATCAATATTCTTTCTTATCCAATTTAGAAGTGACATATGACATGTTCCTATGAAGAATTTCTTAGAATTTTCTTTAAGGAGAACTTTAATTGTTCCATTTCATAATGGGTTGGTTGATATTTACCCCAATGAATAACTAATTATTTTTATTGCCAAGTGATGTTTTTATGATGCTCAGTAGTAGCTGAATTCAAACTAAGAAATGGATTATGAAAGATACGATAATAATAATAACATGTTTTTATCCCACTACGTGGGGTTGGCTATATGAATCCTTTTTCTCCATTGTGTCTTGATAATAGTCAAATTCACATTTAAATCTAATAAAACTAGGTCATTTTTATACTTTTTAACTTAGTCTTTTTTGATCTTCCTCTACCTTTCTAAACACAACAGAAATCTAATACATCTTGGCTGAGGTTTTATGTGGCCAAGTAACCTATAAGGTGAATCTCTCCAATTTTATTTGCCACCAATGCTATTTCAACCTTTTCACATATATACTCCTTCAACATTCTATCTCTATAAGTAAATTTATTCATCCACTTGAGCATCCTTATTTTTGCAACACTTAATTTTATGCTTCTCTTTTAATGACTAATATTTTGCGTCATAAAGTATTGCAGATCTCACCACTGTCATATAAAATTTTCCCTTAAGTTTGAATGTTACATTTCTATCACACAACAAGCAGGATGTATTCCTCCATTTCAACCAGTCAACTTGAATTCTACTAATAATATCTTCATCTATTTCACCATCACTTTGAACAAGAGACTCAAGATATCTAATAAGAGCACTCTTTTTAATGACTTGATCACCCACTATCAAAATCCCACCACTAGATCTATTACTACTAAAATTATACTCCATATATTTAATTGTAAATCTAATCAAATCATAACCTTTAGACTTTAAGGTTGACCTTTATCATTCAAGTTTTTCGTCAACTTTCTCTCTAGTCATACCAAGAAGAAGAATATCATCAACAAAAAACACACACCAAGGTACAGCCTCTTGCAAGTGTCTAGTAAGAACCTCCATGACTAACGAAAAGAGATAAGGGCTTAAAGCTAATCCTTGATGTAATCCGATTGAAATAGAAAAACACTTAGTCAAACTTACACATTTTCATTTTGCATTACTAAACGCCACCCCTCCCTATCTGTCCTCATCCAGCATTCTTACTTTTGCAGGTCCAAAGATGTTGCGGCCATTGATATCAACATGGGGTGTCCCAGGTCGTTCTCCATCAGTGGAGGAATGGGAGCTGCGTTACTATCTAAACCTGAACTTGTCCATGATGTACTCCATATTTTTAATTTAAATGTATATTTTAAGTTTCCTTAGTAAATTGATGTCCCAAATTCCATTGAGTGATAGCATGCAGTATCTTTTCTTTACCAGATCTTGACCACATTGAGAAGGAATTTGAACAGTGCGGTAACATGTAAGATTCGTCTTCTCAATTCATCCCAGGATACAGTGGAACTTTCGCGTCGAATTGAGATGTCTGGTGTTTCTGCACTTGCTGTTCATGGAAGGTATTCAACTCCTGAAAACCTTGTGCTTGTTCTGGTGATGTCATATGCAAAAGCTATTCACTAGATGCGCGGTTGACTCTTTCTGTTGTTCTTTTTTTTCTTTTGGGCGGTGGGGGGGGAGGCGTTGTTGCTTTTGTAATAGCTTGGTTTATTTTCATAGCACTAACTGTTCATAAAAGGTATTCAAATTCTGGATACCTGATTTCTGGTGATTCTTTATCTAAGTGATTAAATTGATGTATGGTATGGTAACTATGTTAGGATTTCTTTTAGAATGTCGAATGTAGCTTAGTTTTATTATATTTCAATCCCCTTTTTGTGTTCTGTTTTGCGTAGGAGCAGTTGTTTGGCGTTCTCCTTTGTTAGAACAAATTTGCATGACATTTTGGTTTGAGTTCCTGAATTGCTACCTTCCTGTCTGTTGAATTTAAGTCTCGAGTTTTCATGAAGTTTCTAGAATTCCAGTCTTCATGATCAATCTATATGCGCTCTCTTTGAAAGTCTTGAATGTTAATTATTTTATGAGTTGTTTTTTGAAAAGCTGAATTGGTTCATAAGTTGGAATGCTATTGTGAGCTTTAAGCATGAGGTAGTATTGCATCAAATGTTATGTTACGTGTAACTCCCTGAATTACTTTAGGTGCAGTCTTAATTTATTATCGTCTTTTTCTATTCCTGTTTGGATCTATTTGATTTTACTTGATATATTAGTTCCACATTGCCAATGTATGAATTGTAGGAGAGTTAAGGACAGGCCACGAGATCCTGCAAAGTGGAGTGAGATTGCAGATGTTGTTTCAGCATTATCCATTCCTGTTATAGCTAATGGCGATGTCTTCGATTATGAACATTTTGAACGGATAAAAATTGCCACGGGTAATTAAGGAATTTTCTTTTTATAATTATTTACTGCCTTTTTGTACAAGTGATTAGTTTTTCTCATCTTTGAAGTTTATTTGGAATGTTTTTTTAAGCTTATAAGTGTTATCATGCCAAGACCCAAAGGAAATTCAACTCACACTATGATATTAAAATGATTTTTTTTCTCGTATTCTTTATTTTTTATTTTTAATGAGGTTAATTTATCTTATTCTGGTTGAAGAAGTAGAGAAAGTAAGGATAATAAGAATCCAAAGTTGAGGCTAAGTAACTTTTCATTTTATTGTGCGTGGTTGTTGTGGCTAGGTTCTTGGTTTTATATGAACATATTTGTGAAATCATAACTTATTCTATTCATTTTGTTACCTATCAATTATCTTCTCCATATTGTTTTTAAGAATGCAACTTTATAAGATCCCACGGTAACATCCTTACCCCTTTCCAAACACCTTCTAACTCCCCCCTCCCTAAAACCAACAGTCTCACACATCGTGCCGTCTCTTTTCCTTTAAGTGCTAATAAAGCTTTAGAACTTCTTGAATTTCCTATGGTCAAGTTATAGACTGGACAAACGTTACTTTTCCCTAAAAAATTCAGTTTTTCCATAGCCATTTTGAATCTGTTTATGTAAGCCAGTTTAATTCACATGTATAATTAATGTGTGGTAATGATTAGCTATCTCAATATATGGTTTTGAAAATTGTAGCGTTTGAGTATGATGTGATCGGCCATTTCTTTCTCCATTCTAGGGTAACTAATGCAATGTTCATGATTGAGTTAATGCATTAAATAGGAAAATTCTTGTGACTGAAATTTCTCATACCCGGTGTTTTTTTAAGAAACCTTATTTGCAGATTTAATATTTGGTCCTGGTAATGTTAAATCCTGTAAATCATGTTTTATGGTCATGCTAAATTTTTATACCTGAAATTTCTTATGATTGAATTTTGTTGATTAAAATATCATTGTAAAATTTTCAAATAAAACTAATAGCACAATTATAATTTAATATCAATCCTATTTTAGGAATCAATAATATTTTTATATTTTTAATATCTTTATTGCATAAATATCATAATTATATTAATTTATTCAATTATATAATTTTCAAAATTTATTTATTAATATTATAATTAAAAAATGCAAGATTTATTAAAAATTAAATCCTTTGTCTTCTACCCTTCTCCTACCCAAATTCTAGAAACCCTCCATTGATGGTAAAAGCAGCGTGAACTTGTTGGGGAAGTCATCAACAGGACTAACAGTGTTTTGAGGAGAAGAGGATTTGTAATGGAAGCTTGCTATGGGAGGAGATACTGTTGATTTAAAGTTAAAATCCATTGAAGCCCAAGATCTGGTGAGTCTGAGATTTATGATAAAATAGAGGAGAAATAATACTTTACTTTGGAAGTAACCGGATTTATTATTCTGTTGGATTTAGGTTATTCTTTTTTATTATTTGACAAGATTTAACGTGAATCTTGCTTAAGATCTGCTACTTAATAGTCTCTAAGGCTAATTTTTTCGCAAAGAATTTATTAATTTAATTTTGTTCTTATGATCAAGTTTCCATGGTATTTCACTTCTTCTTGTTATAAAAATATGATTAAGGTGGAGCATTGACTGAATACAGATATCCAAACACAATGCACTGTTAAAAGGTGGAATTCCGACATCCTTGAGGAATTCTGGATGTAATGCTGATGAGGGCATCAGATTTCGACACGTGTACCATCGCCAGAGACGCCGATCGACGGCCTTGATTCAGAGCCTTTATTTTTTATGCTTTAGTTTATTCATGACTTTTATTTCATGTTTTTCCTTTTGTACCCCTATGAGGGAATTAGTTCTTATTGTAGCCCAAGGGCATTTTCGTCTTTATGCATTTTATTTCTTGATAGCCTATATAAAAGGCTTTGTCATTGTACTTGAGATTTTTATTGAATGAATGAAAATTTCTGTGCTTTGTTCTCTTTGTGAGTGCATGAAGATCTCTTGGTGAGTTCTTCCATTGAGATCTCTTAATTGCTCTTCTTTATTTCCTCCCCACAAGAAAGCTCTACAAAATTCCCCTTCCCCTAGTTCTTGCCGCCGGCCCCCCTAGGGTTTTCCCCACCGCCGGCCAAGCTCCCCACCGCCGTCCATCCCCTTGCCGAGATCCCTTCCCCACCCGACCGGCCTCCCCTCTCTCCACCAATTTCCAATGTGAAATTTGAGATTCAAATTTTGAATTGTTTCCTAATTTGGAAATCCAAATTAGGAAAGTTTTCATGAGCAAATAAATTTCAAATCAAATTAATTTGGAGTTTTAAATCCCTTGCCACGTCATCAAATCAAGTTTTAATTTCCTTTCCCCTCTCCCCAAATTCCTCCCTCTCTCCCTATGCATGCCGCCGGCCACCCCCTTGGTGGATTGCATTTAATTGCCCCATTAACTCCCTTGATCCTAATTTGAAATTCAAATTAGGATACATTAATTTTCCCTCCTATTTGTATTAAAACTGAAATAATTTCAGCTTAATTCTTTTCCCCCTCTCTTCTCTTCCACCGCCGGCCCTCTCTCTCTCTTCCCCATTAATTCTTCATTAAGGAATTAATTGCCCTCTCATTGGAATTCAAATTTCCCCTCCAAAACTCCCCAAAACTGAAATTACTCTCAGTTTTTTTTGTCTTTGTTTTCTAAACCAATCTCCCCTCACCCCACATCCACCGCCGGCCTCCCCATACCTTCTACAACCCGCCGCCCCCCTTCTCTCCTCATTGGAAATTTACTTGCGGCGACCACCCCTTCGCCTCTTCAAGAATGCATGGAGGTACCCGAGTGGAATTTCGGGTTTGAGTACGACAACCGCAGACGAGTGAACATCCTCCGATCCCTTCTTCGACGTCGGATTTGACTTCAACGACGCCGTCGAAGAATATTTGGACCGGATCCTCCCAGCTCTAGTGGAGTCCATCGACGATCACTTCTCCTTCTACACGTGGATTATCGAAGGGCGTCGTTACACGCCACCTCCACGTCCGGCGCCGTCCTCTCCTTCACTACGGATCTACGGCACCATCGCCCTCGGAGTGGTCTCATCACTTGCATGGTTCTTCTTCTCCCAACAAGCCTAGAAGTAGGTAAATGAGTGACGCGTCAAGGTGAGACAATCGCTTTGTTAACCACGGGATTCTAATTGGCATTTCATTTGCTTTACTTTATTTATTGTCGTTATTTTACCGATCTTGCTATTTTAGGTGTAAGCTCTTGCCTAAGCGTAGTTGAATTCTAAGATCTCTGAGAAGTTTCAATTGTGAACAATATTAAGCTTGCAATTTCACCACTTAA